CCCTAACAAAGAATTTAAAACTCAGGTAATTGGCTGGGATCATGAGCAAACCTCACAAAAAGAGTCAGACTATATTATCTTACTCTGTGACAAAGAAGATCAAAACATACAACCAGAAGAAGACAACAAAGTCAAAGTTCCTATATCCAAAGCCTCCAAGAAAAATATGAATCAGTCCCAGGCCTTGGAAGAGCTCAAAAGGGATTTTGAGAAGCAAGTAAGAGAAGTAGAGGAAAAACTGGGAAGAGAAATGAGAGTGATGCAAGAAAATCATGAAAAACAAGTCAACAGCTTGCTAAAGGAGACCCAAAAAAATACTGAAGAAAATAACCCCTTAAAAAATAGCCTAACCCAAATGGCAAAAGAAGTCCAAAAAGCCAATGAGGAGATGAATGCCCTAAAAAGCAAAATTGGCCAAATGGAAAAGGAAGTCCAAGAGATTACTGAAGAAAATACTTCCTTAAAAATTAGAATGGAGCAATTGAAAGCTAGTGACTTTATGAGAAATCAAGACACTGTAAAACAAATCCAAAAGAATGAAAAAGTAGAAAACTGTGAAATATCTCATTGGAAAAACAACTGACCTGGAAAATAGGTCCAGGAGAGAGAATTTAAAAATTATTGGACTATCTGAAAGCCATGATCAAAAAAAGAACAAAGCAATCTGTTTTCTTTACCTAGGAAGTGTCAGGGTCCTATGACCTCTGACTGCCAGGGTTCTGAGACTGCTGGTGGGAGCACAGGGAGAGAAAAGGCAGTGCCTCAGAAAGTGATGTCAAGGACACAGCTGCCACTCTGAGATGAGGATCTGTCACCACCAAACACCCTGGTGACCTGGGTGCCCAAGAACCAGACCATGCTGCTGGTAGCACACCCTGACTCCAGAGATTCCCTGTGTGTGTGTGTGTGTGTGTGAAAGAGAGAGAAACAGAGACAGAGAAAAAGGAGAGGGAGAGACAAAGAGAGACAGAGAAAGAGAAGAAGGAGGAGATGGAGGAGAGAGACAGAGAGAGAGAAGCTGGGAACACAAACATAGACACCCAGAGAAAGTCACCACATCACAGGTCCACCAGACCCCTTGCTGAGCTCGCTCAAGGCATCTCCCCAGGCTCTTTCTTTCCCTTGGCACTCACCAGGGAGTCCAACTCCACTTACCACCTTCTCCCCAACTCTCTCTTCCCATGCAGAGATGACTGAAGGATGGAATCCTTCTGATAGCCAACATCTTCATCCCGACCTGTAATTTCATTTGTGTAAAAAACTCCTCCCCATGCAAATTTGTTCCAAACCAACGCTCAAGTTTTAAAACTTAGAGTTAAGCACTGGAGCACAGAGTGACTTGCTCAGGGCTACATGCGGATCAATCAGTCAACATTCATTCAGCACCTACTGTTGCCAGGTACTGTGCCAGATGCCAGGGATACACAGACAAATGAAATGGTGCCTCCCCTCGAGAAGCTGCTCCTCTATCAAGGGAGACAGCATGTCTCCCAGCTAAATACAATGCTGGTTTGTGAGGAGAGGGCATTAGTAGCTGGGGCCCAGGAAGGGTTTATCTGGGCGGGGGGCGCTAGGCTTTGGGAGGAAATAAGGGTTTCTGAGAAGTGGAGGGAGGGCGGGGATTCTCGATGGGAAGAAGCCAGTGCAAAGGTTCAGAGATGGAAGATGGAGCATCATGCGTGAGGAAGAGCAGCAGGATGGCCAGCGGGGCCGGACCAGAGTATCTGGGAGGAGAAGTCGGCTAATAAAGTTGGGGCCGGGCCGGGAAGGGCTTTAAAAGCCAAACAAATACCCAAGGCGGGACTCAAATCTACTTCTTTCTGACGCAGGGGTCGGGTTCCCTACCCGTGAGGCCACACTGCCTCTGCTGATTGTTTACATTATACGAGCTTTATTGTTTTTAAAGCCCTGTGAGATGGGCAACGCAGAGATTATTTCCCTTATTTTAAAGAAGTAAACTGAGGCTTGGGAAGGCGAATTGAATTGTTCCAAGTCAGCAGGAAGTGCGCTTTTTGAAAGTGGTCCAGTGAAAAGATGAACCTGCTCTGGAGCCAGAGGACCCAGGTTCAGATCCCTCCAGCAACACTTCGTAAGCCATGTGATTGAAGGCCTCATTTCCCTGGACCTCAGTTTCCTCAGTTTTCTCATCTGAGATTCGGCGTGGCTGGCCTCGGGGGCATTCATGCTAAGGACAGGGGCTGGGGACACCACCCAGGTCTGGAGCCCTCGTCTAGGGTTCCTTCCCCAGGCCTTCATCTCTCCGGCGGCTTCAGTTTGCAGAGATGTTTAAGGCCTCATTTAGCCCCAGTGGCTCAGAGATAATTAATCATTCCCCTAAAAGAGAAGCTTTACAGTTGCCCAGGGAGGATAATCAATCTCACAGCTGGGAGAGAAATACAGCTCCTTTGAAAAGATGCTTCCACGCCGAGCTGTTAGGCAGCACCCCCTCCCAGACGCCCAGCACAGGGAGCTCTCTGAAACCACTGGCACCATGGCAGAGGGAGGCCGGAGAGCCAGGGGCCCAGGATTTGGGCAGCCTGAAGCACAGACTGGCACAAGAGACTTTCCCGAGGGAGAGAGGGAGGAGGACAGAGGGAAGGGGAAGGAGAAGGAGAGAAGGGGAAGGGGAGAGGGAGAAGAACAGAGGGGAGGGGAAGGAGAAGGAGGGAGGCAGAGGGACAGAGGGGCAGTGGGAAGGGAAGGAGAAGGAGGGAGGGAGAGGGACAGAGGGAAGGGGAAGGAGAAGGAGGGAGGGAGAGGGACAAAGGGACAGAGGGAAGGGAGGAAGGGAAGGAGAAGGGGTTGGGGGAGAGAAAGGGAGAGGGGAGGGACAGAAATAGAGGGGATAAGGAGAAGGAAAAGGAGAGAGAGAGGGAGAGGAAGCGGGAGGGAAAGAGAGAAGGGGAGGAGAGGGAGAAAAGGGGTGAGAGAGAGAAAGAGAGGAAGAAAAGAGAAGGGGATGGGGGAGGGGGAGGGCAAGGGGAAGGAGAGAAGGGGAGAAGGATAGAGGGAGAGGAAGAAGAAGAAGAGGGAGGAGAGGCCAGAGCAGAGGAGGGCACTCCAGAAGGGACTTCATAGGTCACCTGGTCCATACTCTCATCTTAAGCACAAGAAAACCGAGGCCCAGAGAATAGGGGTGTGGAGCCAAAACTATGGCAGTTCAGGCTGACATGGTGCTTTCCTTGAGATCCGGTGAGGTAGGGAGGCCAGATATTAATTCCATTTCACAGACATGGTGACTGAGGCCCTGAGAGATTGAAAGGGCAATGCTATGCTCGCCGCGGCAGGTGGGCAGCACAGTCCAAATGTTGTTTCAGGTCCCCTGACTTAAGAGACTTAACTGAGAGTGACTAGCCCACGGTCACATGACCAGTGCACGGCAAATCCTCATCTCTCCGCACTCTCCCACAGCGCCTCTCATTAGGAAGCCAAAGAACCTTCCCCAAGGCAGCCTCCTGTGCTGGTAAATGCTCAGGAACCGGCTCTCTGAAAAAAAAAATGTCCTTGGGGCACACTTCAGTCAATCTTCATTATTAACGTTTCCTCATCACTTTCTTAAGTCTCAACAATCCACAAAACAATAAATCAAATCCTGATTTGTAGTGTTTACTGATCTCTGATGCATAAATGGACACAGTGAAAATTTAACAAGCAGCTGAGCTGGTTGGAGCCGGTGCCTACGCCTCCTGAGAAGAGACTAGAGCCTGGAGACACAAGTTCAAGTCCAGACATGGTCCAAGGGAGCAGAAACTCCTTGAGGGCAGAGATTGTTACATTTTTGCTTTGATGTCCCCAAAGCCGGGCACACAGTAGGTGCTTAATAAATGCTTGTTGAAATGGATTGGATTGAAATGAACAAGGGTCTCTATTCCAAAGGAAGGGTGGAGGAAGGGAATAAGCATTTACTAAGCACCTACTGTGTTCCAGGTGCTGTGCAAGCACTTTACAAATATTATCTCATTTGATCCTTCCAACCATCATCCCTATTTAACAGAGGAGGAAACTGAGACAGACAGAGGTTAAGTGACTAGTGCAGGGTCACACAGCTAGTAAAAGTATCTGAGGCTAGATCTGAACTCAGGTCCTCCTGACTGCAGGCTCAGGGATCTATCCACTGAGTCACCAGATGCCTCTTTAGGGAGTTTCAGATATTTCCATAATACAGAATGCTCTGCAAAGGTAAGTCTGGTGGAGCCAGAGCTAGGAGGGAGAGAACAATTCTGGGTCTCAGTTTCCAAATGAGAGGGTTGTATTAGACTTCCAGGTCCCTTCCAGGGGTTGGCCTATGAACCTGAGTCCCTTAACCTCTCTGGGCCTCAGTTTCCTCATTTGTAAAATGGAGGGGGGAGTCAGACTAGATGGCTTTCCAGGTTTGAATCCATGATGCTATGATCCTGCCTCTGACCCTTACTACTGTGTGGCCTTGGACAGATGGCTTAACCTTTCTGAGCCTCAGATGAAGGATGGGGTAGGGTAGGGGTTAGGACCAGATGGCCTGTGAGCATTCTCTCAGTTCTAAATGATGGTCCTGCTTCTGGGGCTAGTCATTGAGCTTCTCCGAGGCTCAGTTTCCTCTTCGGTAAATTGAGGGGGTCAGTGTAGACAGCCACCAGGTCCCTTTCGGCTTTAGGTCTCAGATGTTCCACCCCCATGACCCCTCCAACTGGGCTGGGCTGGCATTTCTTGCTGCCGCCTCAGCCCCGACCACCCAGGTTCTCTCCAGCTCGATTAGAGAAACAAGCTGAGATCTGACATCTTTATGGCCCCTGCTTTGATCTTGCCTTCCATAAAAGCAGCTAGCTCTGAGCCCTTCGCCGGGAGCCAGGAGCTCCCTCAGGGAGGGAGGGGCCCACCTCTCACCAGAGCCAGCTGGGGGCCATGGCCTCACAGATACAGGAAGTGGTCTGACACACATCAGCAGAATCTCAGCCGCCCCTCACTGGGCGGGGGACAAAATGAAATGAGGGCCAGGAGAGGCACTGTCCAGCAATTAAGCTTACCTTAATTAAAACTTCAAAATACCCCTCAGTGTTCCCGTGGCTAATTGGGGTGTAGGCTCTCTGAATTTCCAAACCATCCACGGTCCCCCTAGGAAAGAGAAAGGCAGGGGCTGATGGATTGGGCCCCAGACCTCAGGCATCTCGCCAGCTCTCAACACTTTGGCCACCCATCCATGCTTCACAGGTGAGGAAACAGCAGCAGACAAAGGAAGCCAAGCCCTTTATTTAGGGGCGGCAAGGAAACAAAATCGCCATTCAGCCCTTGTAACCCCTCTGGCTATCCTGGAATGAATGCTCAGCACAGTGCTTGGTACACAGTAGGAGCTTAATAAATGCTTGTTGACTTGACTTCACTTAAATTAGGAATCAGAAGGCCTGGACTCAAATTCTAGCTCCCAGGATCATAAATTCAGAGCTGGAAGGTCCCCCCTGCCCTGCCCAGGCCATCTAGTCTAACCCCCTCCCCCTATTTTACAATTTGATGGTCCAGTGGACTTGGAATCTGGAAGACCTGAGTTCAATCCTATATGAGACACTTTATTAGCTGTTATGACTCTGGGCAAGTCACTTAATCGCTATCTGCCTCAGTTTCCTCATCTGTAAAAATGAGAATCTATCTTTCAGGGTTGTTGTGAGGATCAGATGAGGTGATGGATGGGTGGGATTGATGCATAAATATTGATTACAGGTATCAGTTTCTCTTCATTTCTCCTGCCTGCTTTCTGTGCTTTAGGCCACCATCAGTTTTTAGCCATTTTTTTTTTCCCTCCTAAAGACCACATTCAGGTTTCTCCTCTCTCCCAGGCCAGTGAGAAGCATGGGAAAAACTATGAGGTTTCCTCGGCTAACGGGAATCCTGAGATCTTCCAGCTGGGGCTTCAGCAGGCACAGACACATGAGGCCAGGAGCGTGTCTGCCCCAGCTTGGGAGGGTCGCGGCCTTGGTGTGGGAGAGCAGGCTTCCTACCGTAAGATGAGATGCTGTCCGGGGCTCAGCCCCAGCTGCGTGTTCCCAGGCAGTGCAAAGCGGACCCGGCAGGTGTCGTCCGTCAGCTGCTCCATGGCGCTAATGCTGAAGGCCCGAAAGGTTTCCAGGCTCAGCTCTGGGCGGCGTTGCTGTAACAGTCAAAGGGCCGTCAATCAGCTGAATTACAAACAATTACTAAGTGCCTGCTATGGGCTAGGCTCTGTGCTGGGTGCCGGGTCTATGGAGACCAAAATGAGTCAGGCTATCCCCTCATGGAGTTTAGATTCTATCGAAGGAGACATTGTGTGTGTGCGTGTGTATGTGTGTATGCATGTATGCATGTATTGTGTGTGTCCATGCATGTGTGTCTATACACATGCGCATATACATGTGTACATACACACATGCGTATAAATACAGGCACCGTGATGTATGCATATGTGTGTGCACACGTTGCATGTTTACAATGCCTTGTCTATTCCATTTGTGTATGTGTACTCACACCTGTACAAACGTGCATATGCATGTATAGCCCTACGTGCACATGTGCTTATTTCTACACTATACTGCATACACACACACATGTATGTGTGCATATATACATTCTACAATACCTTGCCTAGACACATACATGCATGTGTATATGTGTGTGTGTACATATGTGCATATGCACACACATACGTGCACAAATACATATGTATGAAGTTTTTAATATAGAGAGATACGTGACAATTTTACGCCTCCCTCCACCATCTCAACCCTTTGGTGAACTAATTCAAGCCCATACTATCCTTCCCTCTTATGCCCCGGTTACTTGTCCTGGTGTTTGTTAATCACCCCTGTCTGCCAACCCCCACCCTGGAGCACTTCCACCACGGAATCCAGAGCCTCAGAAGGTAATGAAACTGGACCGACTGGCCCCCTGACAAATTGTACTAGGTGATCTCAAATGGTCCCTCACTGCAGCCCGGCAATCCTGGTACTACTCCCTAATCCGCTGCATAGCGCAGTGGATAGGGCCCTGGGCCCGGAGTCAGGAAGACCTGAGGTCAAATCTGCCCTCAGACATTTACTACCTGTGTGACCCTGGGTCAGTCACTTAACCCCGTATGCCTCAGTTTCTTCATCTGTAAAATGAGTGGGGGGAGTAATACCACCTCCCTCCCAGGGTTGTTGTGAGGACCAAATGAGATATTTGTAAAGTGCTTAGCATATAGTAGGTGCTATATAAATGTTAGCTATGATTATGGGTGGATTCCCTCTCTCACTTCTCTCAGAAGCTTTTCTAACCCTTCTATTCTCAAGTCTCCCATAGCACCCTGCTCCTCTGCCCTCCCCTCCCCTCATACTCACCTGAAAACTTGAGGTCTTTTGCTGAGGGCTCCCTCTGCTCCCACCCCTCCTACATCCCCCTCCACTGTCTCCTCCTTCACCTTGTCTCATACGAGGTGGCAGCCCTCCTCTTTGCCAAAGGCAAACCCTCCGCCATCACCCCCACTGTCTCTAACCTTCCATCTCTCCCTGTCTACTGGCTCCTTCCCTACCGCCTACAAACACGCCCACGACTCCCCCATCATTAAACACTCCTCATTTGATCCTGCCATCTCTATTTCTGTTGTCTAGACATTTCAGTTATGCATGACTGAAAACCCATTTGGGGTTTTCTTGGCAAAGATACTGGAGTGGTTCACCATTTCCATCTCCAGCTCATTTACAGATGAGGAAACTGAGGCAAACATGGTGAAGTGACTCGCTCAGGGTCACACAGCTAGTAAGTATCTGAGGTTGGGTGCTTGGTGTACTATGGCGCTCCCTAGCTGCCATCTCTGTTAGCCATTGTCCAATATCTCTCTCTTTGAGGCTGGATTCCTTGAGAAAGTCATCCACAACCAGGACCTCCATTTCTTTTCTTTTCACTTGCTTCTAAAGCCTCTAGTCTGCCTTCTAGCCTCATCATTCAACCAAAACTGCTCCCTCCAAAGTCACCAATGCTCTCTTACCTGGCAAGTCTAATGGCCTTTTCTGGGCCCTCCACCTTCTTGACCTCCTGGGGACATTTGGCCCTACTGACCCCCTTCTCTCCCCAGATTCTCCTCTCATGTGTCTGACCCCTTCTTCTCAGTCTCCTTTGTAGGATCTTCATCCGGGTCACACACTCTAACCACAGGTATCCCCCAAAGGCTCTGTTCTGGGCCCCCTTCTCTTCTCCCTCTATATTATCTCACTTGGGGAACTAATCAGCTCCCATTGATTCAATTGCCAGCACTACATGGATGGTTCCCAGATCTATAAATCCAGCCCTAACCTCTCTCCTGAGCTTCAGTCCTATACTGCCAATTGCCTATTGAACATTTCACATTGGAAGCCCTGTAGGCACCTGAAAATCAACATATTCAAGGGGCAGCTAAGTGGCGCAGTGGATAGAGCACCACCCTGGATTCAGGAGGACCTGAGTTCAAATCCAGCTTCAGACACATAACACTTACTAGCTGTGTGATCCTGGGCAAGTCACTTAACCTCATTGCCCTGCCCCCCCCCAAATCAACATATTCAGAAGAGATTTCATCTTCTTCCCCACCCCCGCCCATCCTCCCCTCTTTCTGTCCAGGCTAACAGTGTCCTCCCAGGCACCAAGATTTGTAACCTCAACTCCTCATTTTCATTTACCCCACATATCCAAGCACCCTCCAAAGCTCACCATTTCTTTCTCCGTGACATCTCCACATGAACCCTTCTTTTTGTTCGTCATAGCCTTTCAACTGGTCTCCCCTTTCTCCATCCATCTTCCCCTTAGCTGCCAAAATGATTTTCCCGAAGCACAAGCCTGACCACATCACTTCTCCTACTCTATAAACTTCAGTAGCAGCCTCTCACCCCCAGGATCAAACACATAAATGCTTTGTTTGGAATTTAAGGCTCTTCCTTCCATCTTTTCAGCCTTCTTAGACATTATTGCTGTTATTCCGAGCATTCTACAATCCTGCCATGTTAACCTATTGCTGTTCTTCAGGAATGGCGTGCTATCTCCCACCTCCCCGCCTTTGCCAGGGCTGTTCCCCAGGGAATGTTGTCCCTCCTCATATCCACATCTCAGAATCCTGATTTCTTTGGGGCTTAACTCAAACACTCTCTTCTACAGGAGGCTTTCCCTATGGCCCTACCTATTCAGGCCTTCCTCTCAAAAGTTGCCTTCCATCTACAAATTTTGGGACCTGTCATTTCCCCTATCGGAATGTAAGCTCTTTGAGGACAGGGGCCACATATGTAATAAATATTTGTTGAGTCATTGAAATAAATACAAGGCAATTTGGGGAAAGAAGACAAGTACCTGCTGAAGGGGCAGGGGAGAAGTATGTGGAGAGGCACAGTCCCTGCCCTCTGGGAGCTTGCAGTTTAGTTCAGAGTAGTAACCTGTGCACAAATAATTCTAATGATATCATACTGTTACAAGAGGCTAATGCCAAGGCAGGGTGATACCCAGCAGGACTCCAAGAGCCTTGAGACCATTACGGCAGCTGGGAAGGCCGGTGAAGACCCTGAAACGCTGGCAGATCCATCTTTGCCTCACAGAAGGGAAGGGACGTGCCCAGGGTCATGCAGGCAGTAAGCAACAGAGCTGGGATTTGAACCCAGGTTCTCCGATTCCAAGTCTAAAAGTATTTTCATTTTTTTAGAGCCGCTGCATCCCCACCCACTGATCTACCCCCAAAGGCGAGGGTACTTGGGAATGAAAGATGGGGAAGTCATCACACACAGAGAATTAAAAACCTACTCATGACTGGGCCTCTTTGCCATGAGACTAAAGTAACAAATATCAGTGAATCCTCTCACGCATTCAGGTCATCGTTAGAATTATTAAATTAGGAATCAAAAGGCCTGGTATTTTTTCAATTTTAAAAGGTAAACTTTTCTAAATATAGCAGGAATCTTGGTTGGAACCTCAGCTCTACTTCTTATGAGCATATGAGAAATGTGCGTTTCGGTCATTACAAATAGAGAGGAGAGAGTTCACTGTGGTCTGGAGGAGCCGGGGAAGGGTCCCAGGAAGAGGTGGTACCCCAAGCTCAGCCTGGAAGGATGGGTGAGGACAGCCTGCAGACTCCTCGGATCCCAAGCTGGAGGGGTCCTCGATGCCAATCTGCTCATTTCACACGAGGGAACTGGGGCCCAAACCTTCCATCCATACCCAGTGAAAATGGAGGCAGACTGCCCTGGAAAACATTACTCAGCAAGTTCCTACCTCTTCCTTCTTTCTCCACAGGAGGCTCTTATCTTTCTTGGCCTGGGCTTTTTCCCACCAAGCGAGCTCCTGGTAGTAGATGTCAAACACGCAGGGTTTGCAGCCGCCGCCACAGCATTGAGCAGGCAAAGGTTCAGTGGGTCGGAGTTGCAGCCAGGCTTCCTCATCATCACCTTCCTCCTTCTCCTCCATCATCAGCAGACAGACCCTGCTCAGGAGGGGAAGAGGAGCGAGGGAAGTTAGGAAAGCCATCTGGCTTAGAACAGGGGGCAGTGGTGGGGATGAGCTCCCAACACTAGGCCAGGAAAATCTCTGCCAAGACCCTAATCAAAGTGTCCTACCCAATTCAATCGGACATTTATTAGGCACCGACTATATACGAAGCCCTATGCTTGACTGCTTACTAAATGGTTGTTGATGACTTCTGAGATGAGAAGGATTATGAACCTTGAAATAGAATGGAAGTTCCCCGAGGGCAGGAACTCTCCTTTGTGTCTTTGCAGCCCCATGCTAGCAGAGTGACTGGCATTTAGCAGGTGCTTAATAACCACTGGTTGAGGGGCAGCTAGGTGGCACAGTGGATAGAGCACCGGCCCTGGATTCAGGAGCACCTGAATTCAAATCCGGCCTCAGACACATAACACTTAATAGCTGTGCGACCCTGGGCAAGTCACTTAACCCCACTACCTAGCAAAAAAAAAACACTGGTTGAGTCAAATTGGATTGGGTTGAAATAAACATAATTATATTAGGTGAAGCAGTGGATAGAGTACTAGCCCTGGAGTCAGGAGGATCCAAGTTCAGAACTGACCTCAGATACTAGCCGGGTGACCCTGGACAAGTCACTTCACCCTGTTTGCCTCAGTTTGCTCATCTGTAAAATGAGCTAGAGAAGGAAGGGCACACCACTCCAGTGTCTTTGCCAAGAAAACCCCAAAGGCGATCACGAAGAGTCAGACGTCGAAACAACTGAACAACAGCAACAACAACAAAGAAACAGTTTGAGATGAGTCAGAGGACCCTGGGTTCAAGTCTTGACTCCACCAGTGACTAGCTGTGTGATGTTGGTCAAATGCTGTCTTCTCTGAACTTTGTTTTCCTTGTCCCCAAAATGAACGGGTTGGTGCAGATGACTTTCGAGGTCTCTCCCAGCTCGGACAGTCTCTGGGCCAAAGATTCCAGGAGACGGCAGCTCCGTGTCAGGACAAAGGTCCTAACGATAAGAGCTGTTCCGGGGGAAGAGGGCCCCATCGGAGCTGAGGAGCTAGGTCTCCAAACAGAGGCCGGATGACCACTCCTTGGATGTGTACGTGTAAGGCTTGGACCAGAGGCCTCTAAGGTCCCTTCCAACTCTCTATGTCTGTGACTCTACGAAAGAGTCAATGGGTGGCCTTGGAGGGAAGGAGATTCTTGGGGTAGGGACAGCATGAGCCAAAGGCAGAGGAACAGGATGAGTTTGGGCCAAGGTCGAATTGTGCGGTTTGGTTGCAGCATGGAACGTTGGGCCAAGCACTGGGCAAGGTTTGGAAGATCCAAAGAGAAAAATGAAGCCATCCTCCCTTCAAGAAGCTTACATTCCAATGAGGGGTGGATAGTTGAGGGAGGAGAAAAAGTACTAAGGCCTGGGGGGTGGAGACTGGGGAGGACTGTGGTCAGACCTCAGCCCTTGGTCTCAGTCTGCGCACCTCTAAAATGAGGGGGCCAGATTAAATGGGCTCAGCTCACTCCCCACTCTAGATCTAAGATCCCATGATGGATGGACAGATGGATGGATAGATGGATGGACAGATGGACAGATGGATGGATGACTGGTCAGATGGACAGATGGATGGATGACCCAAGAGACACTATAAGGGGAGAGAGGTGGCTATCAGCAACCAGGCCTCACTTCAGGGCCTGGGAGGGCACAGTGAGGGAAGAGTTAAGTGGCTCCAGGCATGACTTATGATTTATTCTGAGCTTCCTCCATGGGGAAGGAAGTTTGGGATTAATCTGGATTCCCGAGTATTTACACAAGAGGGCCACCGTTTATGTAGAAGGAGCCGTGTCTCATCACTGCACCTGCAAATCCAGGCTCGCCATTGATATCCTGAATGCAAATCAAAAACCAGAAGCAGGGCCTCCGCCAAATGCCAGTAATCCAGACTTGATGGGAATACATTAACCTCCTCCCTCCTGAGTCCTGCCTCCAAAAGGCCCCCCAGCCGGGCTTGCTCCCCTTAATCTTTCCTTTTCAGACTTTTGAGCTTCACTTCTGAGAAATGCTATCAATAAGAATCCCTCCCACCCCTCATTTATCTAGCCCTTTCAGGGATACAAAATGCCTACTTTCCTCACAACTCTCAGAGGTAGGTAGAATAAACATGATTACTCCCATTTTACAGATGAGAAGGCTGGGGCTCAGTGAGGCTACGAGCCTTATAGTTTATATCTCTCAAAGCTGTCCAAATGACAGTGTGGCTAAGTGGATAGTGGCCAGGCATCAGAGTCTTACTCCTGGCACATACTAGGGCTATGTCACCCGGGGAAAGTCACTTAATATTACCATCAGGGCTCCAAATAACTCTTTAAGACTGGACGTCACAGAGCAATAACAGATCTCCGTAGGTAGAGGGAATTTCCCCATTGGGAGTTACTCATATGAATGAAATCAAAGGCTCAGAACAATAATAAAATGATTATTATAATTATTAATTACTATTAAAATAGGTGACCTCAGGGGCCAGGAAGAGTTGTAGATATAGGTTCCATATTAAGGCAAAATTTTCCCAACCATTAGAACTGCTAAAATACATACGTGTGTGTGTGTGTGTGTGTGTGTGTGTGTGTGTGTGTGTGTGTGTGCCTGCCAAGGGCTGGCTTGGTAGGTAGTGAGCTCCCTACCAATGAAGGTATTTTAGCAGAAGCTAGATGGTCTCTTACTGGGAATGTTGCAGAGGGGTTCTTGCCCAGGTAGAGATTGGACTAGATGTTTTATGAGGTCTCCTCTGGACTTGGAGGTTCTCCGATTCTCATAGATTCTCAAGGGTCATTCGTCTTTTGGCCAAATCATTTCTTCAGTGATTTCCATTCCTTGGCTGTATCACCTCTTGGGGTAATAAGTCACCTACTGTGTGAAGCCAGACTTCTTTTAGTTGTCCCAGGCTTACTTCACACGAGTTTCAAAAGGGTGCCATCTTGTTCTGGTAATTCAAGTGCTGGTGAGCAAGCCCAGGATACTTTCTCTGCGACATCCCCAGTTTTACAGACTTTAATCCTAGTCTCTTTCACCCTCAGTTTACCAGAATAAAGATGCTTTGATTTTAAATTTGTGCTCTTGGGAGCTGGAGAGGAATCCCAAAAGACAAAAATCCAGAACGGCACTGGGTATCTGACTAAATGCAAGGAAGCAGCCTCTGGGGGAGGAGGGATGGTGTCAGGAACGTGAAGGACTGTAGCATCTCCAAGTCATCTCCTAGGGAGACAAGGTTAGACAATGGGGTAACGAATATTAACTCTGGAATCAGAGAAACTGGGTTCAGATTCTGCCTCTGAGCTTTACTTCTTTGGAGAAGCCATTTTATTTTACCTCTTTGAGCCTCAGTTTCCTCCTTTGTAAAATGGCCTCTGCAATTCCTTTCAGCTTTGAAACTATGATTATCAAGTCCCATCTCCAACTCAATACAGAAATTCCTTCTACAGAGTTCCAAAGAGAGGCTGACTAGCCTCTGCTTGAACACCTTCTGGGACAGGAAGCTCACTACCTTATGAATCAGCCCATTCCATTATCACAGTTCGGTTAGGAAGTGCTTCCATTATGTGAAGCAGCTAGGTGGCTCAGTGGATAAACCACTGGCCTTGGAATCAGGAAGACTCATCTTCATCTTCAGACACTAGCTTTGTGACCCTGGGCGAGTCACTTAACCCTGAATGCCTAAAAAGAATAAAAGAAAGAAAGACAAAAAGAACTACACAGAACTTCAGATCAAAGTCATATTTAGAGCTGGAAGGGAAGTGAGAGGCCCTCAAATCTAATCCCCTCATTTTACAGATGAGGAAAAAAGAGCTTAAGTGACTGGGTAACTAACACAACCAGTTCAGGTCAAATGTAGCACTTGAACCTGGGTCTTCCTGGCTCCGAGACCAGCTCTCTATCCATTAAGCCATGCTGCCTCTCATTTAAAAAAAAAAAAAAGTTTTATATTAAACTCAGGTTAAATGCAGTGGCCAATCCTTCTTCTAGAAAACAAATGAAGAGACATACTTCCCTCCTGTAAGTAGTGAGGTGAGGGACTACGGGTGCAGAATACTGCATAAACTGTTAGAGGTAGCTCTGTTGTTCAATTTTACTTAATGTTTTCTTTGCTATGAAGGAGGGTTGGGGAGCATTAAGTCAGGAAATGACTGATACAAATGTAGCTCTCTCTCTCTCTCTCTCTCTCTCTCTCTCTCTCTCTCTCTCTCTGTGTGGGTGGGTGAGTGTGTGTGTAGACCCCAACTACATAAAAGCTAAACATAATCTGGCTCCCTCCCAAGTAGGGGAGGGGAGGGGCAGCCCAGTGTTTTGTGCTGGGTATGGAGGGAAATGTATCTTCTGATTGTCAGAGAGAATGCTGAGCTCTATCCTGTGTACCTTTCTAATGGACTTACTCTGTTGGTTCCAGAATTCTTCTGAAGAGAGATACATGGACAGAGGAAGCTCTAAGGAGGGAAGAGAGAAAGTCTTTGGAAGCTGCAGACATGTAGAGGAAGCTGGCTCACCAACACTCCCCTGATTCCCAAAGTCTTTCTCTAAGAGGAGGCCCCTGTCTCAGAGAGGAGGAGAGCCAAGGGATCCCAGCTGGGGGCAAGGAGGAGAGGCAGGCAGACTCCGGCAGCACTGCCAAGATGAGGTGCCCTTTTCTATCCTCCATGAGGGGTATTGGCCTAGAGTTATACTTACCTGTGACCCCTCAACTATCTGTCCAGTCAAGGGATGTGAAGTTCAGGATAACAGAAAGCCACATCCCTGGGCGCTCTCAGGGAGGGTGGGCAGTCCTTACACTTGGTTTTTCATCTCTTTGCCAAGCACTGTTCTTTGGGGTTACAACCTGTGCTATTCACAGGATTTGAAACACTCCAGGTAGGAGGTTTCCTTGACATGAACCCATTTGGAAAACTGAGCACAAACATATCACATTTATATTGTGCCTGAAGGTTTCTGAAGCCTCTTGCCCATCCATTATCTCACTTGAGTCTCCTAACACCCCCTGAAGTGGTATGTGCAGGTGTTCCTGTTCCCATCAGAGACGTGGAAAGTGAGGCCCAGAGAGGGGCACCGTGAACAAGCAGGAGGGCCAGGAAGAAGGCCCAGATCTTCCTGTCTCCACGTCTCACTCCAGACTTATTTCTCCATGGAGATAGAGTGCTCTCAGGAAAAGTGCCATGGTCCTGAGCCGAGGGAAGAGGGAAGCGGGCTTCTCCCCAGCCCAAGTCGCTCACAATAGGAGACGTCAAAAGGATGAGGAGTGGCTGGAAGGAAACAATTCTGGCTGGGCCCAGAGTCGGGGGTGGGGGGTAGGGGTGGTAGGGGGAGGGCTCATGAGCACTTTCGAGGACCGCTCTTTGATCAGCTGTATGTTGTAAGGCCCTGATGGGCAGAATGGAGATGGGGAGTGACAGGGAGGTAGATTTCATCTCAATATTGAGAAGTCTGAACCCCAATTTCATGGCCTTTTGCCTCCGCTGCTTTGCCACTGTAGACCATCCCATCCCTCTGACTACTCTGTCCTCCCTTGACTCCTGAGAAGCCATCTCTCCAGCTGCTCCTTCTCTTGCTGGCTTCCTGCCCTCTCCCCAGACACTTACTGCTGTTTGCGGTCTCCACCTCCCGTCCCCGGCCAAGTCTGGGCTGTTTCCCTCTCCCCAATATCTCTCAACATTCACCCTCTTCTCTCTACTCCCCCAGACACTCTCCCGGTTTAGACCTTCATCATCTCTTGCCCATGCTATCACAGTGGCCTCCCTATCAGCCTCCCTCTCTTAAGTCTCTCCCCACTCCACACATCTTCCACACAGCTGCCAAAGAGGTGTCATACTGCCATCAGATCCCTGCTCAATAAACTCCTCTAACTCCCTATTACCTCGAGAATCAAATTGTTGTTGTTCAGTCATTTTCAGTCATGTCTGACTCCTCATGACCCCATTTGTGGTTTTCTTGGCAGAGACACTGTAGTGGTTTGCCATTTCCTTCTCCAGCTCATTCTACAGATGACAAAACTGAAGCAAATAGGGGTAAGTGACTTACCCAGGGTCACACAGCTAGTAAGTACCTGAGGCTGGATTTGCACCTAGGTCTTCCTGATTCCAGGACCAGTGCTCTATCCATTGTGCCACCTAGCTGCCCTAGAATCAAATATAAACGCCTTTTTGTGGCATTTATAATCTTATTATCCATTACTCCCCTTCACTCGCTCTAGGTCAGAGCCAACCTGTCCCTCACACACTCCGTTTCTAGTCTCTGAGCCTTTGTAGAAGCTGTTCCTCATGCTTGGAATGCCCTCTCTTGTCCCCTCTACTTCCTTTCAGTTCAAGGGCCGTCTTTTGTGTGAAGACTCTTCAGATCACCCCAAGTTGTTGGTGCCTTCCCCCAACCAACAGAAATGCCTCCCATTTATTTGGTATATACTTAATCTGTTGCTGTGGTCTCACCTGGGAGAATGGAAGCTCCTGGAGGGCAGGGCCTATTTCATTTTTGTCTTTGTATCACATCTTTTAGCACAGTGCATGGCATACAGTGGATGCTTGATAGAACTCAAATGCCAGCTCCTCCTCTGAGAAGCCCTCCCTGATACCCAGGGCTGATCCCCCAGCTTGCTCCTTCAACCTCGCCAGGCTCTTTCTTTGGACTCCTCTAATGTGTTCATTGAGGAAACATTAATATCAGGTTCACCAGAGCAGCACTTTGTCGGCTTCAACATAGTAACATTGCACCAGGGCATTAGAGCAACACAGGTTTGAACCAGTAAGTTTGTATATTACAGTTATGGGGGGAGGGGAGGGAATCCTGCCTCATTAGTTCAGTTCAACAAACATATACTAATGACTTCTCCACATGTGGCCTCAGGCCACAGGCTCTCCACCCCTGACTAAGACCTTGGCCTCAGAGGGCTTACCTTCTATGGGAAGGAGTCAGGGAGAAGTTGGTTGAAAAGGTACATGGGAATGTACAGAAGGTTAGATGGGATGGAGAGAAAGGAGAAATCCAGGGAAGGGTTCTAGGGATGTGAAAGAAGGGAGGAAATGCTTTGTCCTGGGGTTGGGGACAACCAAAGAAGGCTTCCCAAAGTAGGGAGAACTGGACTTGAGCCTTGAAGGAACAGATAGGTTCTAAAAGGCAGGGATGAGGGGAGAGTATATTCTAGACATGGGGAATGGGCCACCTAAGGGAATGGAGGAGGATGGAGGGGAAGTGGGACTAGGGAACCATTAGTTCTGCTTGCTTGGATGGCAGAATGCATAAATATGAACCAGAACTGGAGATGGGGCGGGTGCAAATCCCTCCTTCTGAAGGAAGAAACCCCAAGCCTGTTTCATCACCTGTCAAAAGGTGGTGGTGGGGAGGCCAGATGATCCTTAAGGTCTCTTACATATCTAAAGAGCCCGGGGCTAAGCACGGATCCCCAGGGCTCTCCACTGGAGACTCTTTCAGAGTCATCATTGACCCAGTCACCACTCCTCTGGATTAAGCCAGTTCCAAATCCATGTAATTATCTGGTCACATGGCCCAGTTTCCATCTTTTCCACAAGAAGAGCATCAATCAATCAACCAAACAAGCATTTATTAAGTGACTATTCCTGTATATGCCAGGCATTGTCCTGGTGCTAGGGGGAGCTGGGAAAGTGGGGCATAAAGTGTAAAAATAGCAAAGGGGGAGGAGAGTCCACTCTAAGCTCCCTGATAACTCTCAACCCCAAAGTTCCAACCACAGATCCCAGGGGCTCCCCAAGGAAGAGGCCTCTACAAGCTGACATTGAACCTTCAATGGACACCTTCCTGCTCGGGTCTCAGTTTCCTCCACTGTAAAGTGAGAGGAGTGCTCTCTAAGCACCTTGACAACTTGTAAAGAGCACAGAATCCGGGCACTCCACTGGTCACCTCCAGCCAAACAAGCCAATGTGACATCATCAGTGACCCCTTTGGGGGTCAGGCCCTAATCGCTCTCCCTGTGCTGGAGTCAAGCACACCAGGGGTGGCTATATACCGCTCCACGACTCTGGGCCTCAGTTTCCCCTTCTGTAAAATGAGGGGGTTGGCCTAGATGACCCCTGGGGTCCCTCCCAGCTCTAAGTCCCTGTTGCTAGGCTGGAAGGCTGGGCCTAGGAGAAGATCGGGGAGTCGAGGATCCGTGATCTCTCCGCTCGGCCTCCCACCCAGCAGACATCCCTACAGCTTAGCTCGGTTCCCCCGGCTGTCCAGCCTGGCCCACCCCGGGGCTCCTCAAGCACATACCTCTACTGTCTGGTGCCGAAACACTCACCTCCGTTGCGGGCCGCTCTGCTGAGCTCCGCCTCTTCGGGGCGTGGCCAGTACTTCGCCGACTCTCCCTTACCGGCCTGAGTCTGGGATGGAGCGGGAGGAAGGAGAGCTGAGCCAGCGGCGATTGGCTGCGGAGGCCGCCGATCTGCGTCCCGTGACCTCGCCCCGCCCCAGCTGCGCGCGCATCCCGCCTCCCGGCGGGCCTTGCGGCGAGCACTATGGCGGCGGCCGTCTGTGGTCGGCCGGTGGTCGGGGCGCTGAGGGCAAGGGCGGCCCCGGGGGGCGTCCTGGGCTCGGGGGGGCCCCGGCGCAGCGCCTACGAATGGGGCGTGCGCTCCACGCGCAAGCGCGAGCCGCCGCCGCTGGACCGCGTGTACGAGATCCCGGGTGTGGAGCCCGTGACGTGGGCCGGCCTCCTGCACCGGCAGCCCGGCCTGGCCAGGCCCGTGTTCCCGCCGTGGGAGCGCGGCTGGGAGGACCCGAGGCGGCCCAGGCCGATCCCGCGAGACACCCACCCCCTGCGGCGTGAGGTGCCCTGCCACGTGATGCACCAGCGCTGCCGCCTGCTCGAGGGTGAGTGAGGCCGCCGAGGGGTAGACTGAGGCCAGGGAGGGGCAGGGCCGGACACAGATGGGGAGACCGAGGACGGGGGTGGGGGGGGAAAGATTCCAAACCTCCGTTCTCCGACCCCCCTCCCCAAAAATTGAGTGCACTTTCCATTGAACCACACTGCCAGGGTCTCGCGGGGATTAAGTGTCAGTGAAGCAATAGCTCAGATTTGCGTAGGTTGCAGGTTTGCAATATTCATACGAACCGCGCAACGTCGGTGCTGTTACTTTGTATTCTGCTGCCTGGCTTCCGACCTCATCACCCTCCAAAGTCACCAGTGATTTCTTAACTAGTCCAAAGTTACAAATGGGGAAACTGAGGCCCAGAACCTGGAGGACTCTCCTGGTCTATCAATGCTCATCCTTCTTGACCTCTCTGAAATTAGAATCTATTGACCACCTTCTCTTCTCCCTAGGTTTTTGGGACACCCCTCTCTCCTGGTTTTCCTCCAGCCTGTTAGGTTGTTCCTTCTCCGTCTCCTTTGCTGCGTGGTCTCGGTCACATCCTCTAACTCTAAGTGTCTCTCAGGCTTCCTGACTAGTTCTGTGACTTTGGGCAAGTCCCTTAACTTCCGTTTGTTTCAAACTTCAGCTGTAAAATGAGGAAAATCACAGGACCTGCTTCCCATGGTTGTTGGGAAGATTGAATGAGATAATATTTGCAAAGCATTCAGCACAGCGCCTGGCACATTGTAGACACTGTAGAAATGCTAGCTGTTAATGTTCTAAGACATCTCAGACTTTGTCCTGTTTAACTCAGCATGTCCAAAACCCCATTCATCTCCTCTCCTTCTCTGCCTCCCCCCAACTTCTTGTTACTCTTGAGGACACCACCATCCTCCTAGTCTGAAGTATCATTCTCAAGCCCTCACTTTCCCGCGTCCTTCATAGCACCTCCCCAGTGTGCCCCCTTCTCTCATCTGACGCTGCCCCTACCCTGGTGCAGCCTCCAGCACCTCACGCCTGCATTATTGTAATGGCAGCTGAGGTGGGGATGGGGGTGGGGGGTCTGCTGGCCTCGGTCTCTCCCCCCTTTAGTCCGTCCTTCACTCAGCTGTCAAAGTGATCTTCCTAAAATGCAGGTCTGACTGTATCACTCACCTACCCCCTACTCAGTAAGCTCCAGTGGCTCCTTATTACCTCCAGGATCCAATATAAAATCTCTGGGGCTTTAAAGCCCTCTATGACCTGCTCTTCTGACACCCCCTCGTATACTCTTTGTGCCAGTGACACTGGCCTTCTGGCTGTTCATCACCCTAGACCCGCCATCTCCCGACTTAGCGTGCTCCCCATGCCCAGAATGCCCTCCCTCTTCATCTCTGCCTCCAGGCTTCCCTGGCTTCTTTCATTTCTCAGCTAGAATCCCACCTTCTGCAAGAATCCTTTCCCAGGCCTCTGGATCTCAGCCCCTTTCCTCAGAGACCAGCCCCAGTGGTCTCATCTGTGTCTTGTTTGTACATAGTTGTTTGCGGAGTGGTTTATGTCTCCCACAGGCCTGGGATGTCGCTGGGAGCAGGGGCAGTTTTTATCTTTCTTTGTATCTCTTGGGCTTAGCCCAGGGCCTACACATAGTAGGTGCTTAATAAATGCTGATTGACTGACTGACTACAGATACAGAACCTCACCACACAGCTGGTGAGTGTGTAAGTCATGAAACCTGAGGGTGACAGTGGGCGGTTTGTAGCGTTGGAATTGTCCACTCTTCTTCCACCTCCGTCAGCCTACGGCAGTTGCCAAGTCCTGTCAGTCTTGCCAGGGTGGTCTGTTCTGTATCCATGGTCCTACTGGTGGTCTTCATCCCCTTTTCCTGAGTGGTCGCAGCAGCCTCCCTGATTCGTCACCCCACCTCTAGTCTCCTCTGTGTTTGTCCTCCACGAAGCTGCCAAATTGCTGTCCCTCGATCACGGATCTGATCCATCCCCCCGGAACGTGGCTGTTTGGCTCTTACGGCCCGTCGCGGTCTGGCTCCAAGCTTGTTGTACAGAATTTCCGGGCAGTCCAGCCCAAGTGGCCGCTTGCTGTTTCTTGTACCCTGTGCTGGGAGTGCTCTCTCATCTTTGAAATGTCGGGGCTGGACCAGAGAATTTCTGTGGCATACCAGGGGTCGCAGGTGTCTTACAAATGGGAAAGACTGTTTCCAGGCAGAGGCGCTGCTGACCTGAGTTTACAGTCCTACCTCTGATATGTGTGACTTTGGGCACATCATGTAACCTCTCAGGGCCCCACTAGAGAAGGTGCTGAGCTTCATGGGGAGACCTCCCCTGGGAGTTACTCTGTAATGTACTAATGAAATTGCCAATCCAGTCACTGCTGTGCAGAAAAAGGTGCCATGTCTGGGAGGGGTTTTATGGGACAGCAAAGAGACAGCGTGGATCCGGGAAGGATGTCGGATCATCCAGGCCAACCAAGCCCCGGAGCAGGGAGGGGGCTTACCCAGATCGCCATTTGTAATAAAGGTCTTTTGACTCCAGAATCCAGTATTCCTTACACTGATTACATTACGCTATGAATAATGTCTCTGGGCTTCAGTTTGCTCCTTTGGGAAATGAGGGACTGAAGGCCAAACTCATAATTCTTGCTCTGTTCCTGTGCGCCTAGTAGGTGCTTAATACATGTTTTGAATTGGCCTGCCCTGGGCTCTGTCACTTTGTCCCTTTTAAGCGTCCTCTGCAGATGGGACGGGCCCGTCTCTAAGGTCTCTCTCACTTGGACTTTCTGAGAATCTGAAAGCTCAGTGTGTCCCAGAGTCTGCTCTCTGTGGTACAGTCTAAGAGGCCTGGCCTGGGAGCCTGACTCTGTCACAGCTCACTGGGTGCCGGTGAGCAAGTCATTTCCCCCTCCCAGCATTAGTTTCTTCCCCCATAAAGTAAAAATGGTCAGACTTTTCCTGCTTATCTCACAGGACCAGGACGAACTGGTGAGATGGTGGGTGCTCAGGTTTTGTTACATCAGTGGGAGCAGGCAATATGCAGAGATCCAGGTGGGCCAAAGGGATGAGAGCCATGGGGACCTTGGAGACTCTTGCCCCCCCCTGCCCCCCCTTTACAGAGTCAGGGATTATGATCCAGAGACAGGGAAGGGCTTGCTCAGGGTCACAGGGCAAAATGTTTGGACCAAGACTGGGTTCCCTGGTTCCCACGCTGTTCTTTGTGGCAGGTAGAAGTCCCCAAAGATCCTGCATGATTGTAAGGGCTGTTCTCCACTCTGGTGTGTCTTCTTTGTCCTTCCCCAGAAGTCAATAGGAGAATCAGAATAGGGCACCTCCCGGCAAGGGGATTTGGGGGAACTGAAGAGGGAAAGGCTGTGGACATCCAGGAAAAATAACATGGGGAGCCAGCGTAAGTGGCAATTGTTTGGCCTACAAAAGAGGATTGGACAGGCCTTCTGTTCGTGTAGACAGAAAGATTGACTTTCTCCTTGGGCCCAGGTAGCAGCCTTTGAATCCACAGGGAATTCCAGGGAAGAAAGTTTCTACTCCAAATTAGAAAGTGCTTCTCCGGGCACAGTGTTTAGTCTTTCTCTGTACCCCCAGTACTTAGCAGTGTCTGGCACGTAGTAGACACAGAATGAATGCTTGACTTAATAATCCCGGGCATTCTGCAGGAAGAGAGAAGTGCTCCCTCTCACTGAAGGTGGCCGCTTTGCAGTAGCTGGCTTTAACAGCCCGTACAGGACCTTATGAAGGGGACGCCTCCTTTAGGATGTGGCTAGAGAGAGATGGCGGCAGATTAGCACTCAGAGGCCCCGGGTGGGGTGGCACCCTGGCTCCTTACTACCTTGTGTGACCCAAACAATTCACTTCTCTCTGGGCCTCAGTTTCTTCTTCTGTAAAATGAAGAGGTTGCACTAACTGAACTTAAGGGCTCTTCCAACTCTAGATCCTGTGCTCCTGTGGCCTCGGAAACCTCTTCCCCCTCTGAGAGCTTTTGATGTGATTATGTGACTTGGGGGTGGGGGAGTCCCAACTTCTTAGTGATTTCATTGTTATGAGCAGCTCCCAGTATTGAAACTCACTCCACCGATGCAGATTGGCACCTCATCTGTCACTTGTCAGAAAGGGAACGTGACTTCTGTCGGTGACTGGACTGGAACCGAGGTCTTTTTGACTCCAAATCCAGGCCATTCATCTCCTGTGCTGCACCGCCTCTCTTTCACTGGGGAGGAAGCCAAAGGCAGCAGTCTGGGTCTGGGAAGGGATCTTCCAGGGCATCTGATCTGAACCCTTGTCGATTTCTGGAAGCTTCTCCACAACGTAACCGGACAAGCGGTCACTTTGCCTCTGTCTAAACAAGCCAGCAGTGACTTCCCGGGTTTATGGCAGGGTGCCTCTGTAAACAGTTAGCTGTGTAGATGGGACCTGGGCTGTAGTGGAAAGAGTGCTGGGTTTGGAGGCAGAGGACGTGTGTCTGAATGCTGCTTTTTTTTTTTTTTTTTTGCTCGGTGTGACTTTGGGGAAGCCTCTGTTTCTCATCTGTGGAATGAGGAAGGTGGACTAGTGAGCTCTCAGATCACTGCATGTTCAGCTTTATAGGGAGCTACCTGGCCTCACCAAACCTCCCTGGGCCTCGTAGACATAGCCTGTTAGCAGTGGCTTGAGATTTTTCCAAGCCTGGAGACTGATGGCTAAACCAGGGCTGTGCTTCAGTTCTCCCGATTGCCAGGCTAGGAGTAGTGGTGATGGTTCATATTTTATAGTACGTGCACCTTGGGAGGTACCCACCACGAGAGTTACCCTTATTTTATATGTAAGGGAACAGGCCCAGAAAGGTAAAAAAGACCTGCCCACTTGCTGGCGATGTTCAGATTGATTTCAGAGCTTTTGTCTTTAAGTTTGGAAGCCTTCCTTCTGCCCTCTGGAGGGAAGGGCGTCTTTTTGAATTTGACACTCTCCACCAGCATTCTGTGCCACCCAGAGACACGACCCATTCTCTGATAATAGTCCTTCCAAGGCATCCAAGACTCACTTTCAGTCTGGCTCTTGATGTTTAATTCATGACTTGTCCCTGAGTCTGAGCAAGCTTGTGGCAGCTTTCTCGCTTTAATAAATGGCCTGCTGTCAAAAGCTCTGCCAACCAGGTACGGGTACTTTGAGTGATGTGTGGGGAACATGTGGCCAGGGACTTGGACCCACTACTCAACCCCCACCCCCCCATTACAGGATCCCAGGAGAGCTGAACTGTGGCATTCAGGGCTGTCACCCCGTTCCCCCCTCCATAGGGAGCCCCAAAAGCACCTGTTGAATTTAGAGGTAGGTTGGGTGGGACCTGAAACTCCTCTTTGATGCCCCCTTTCATAGTAGCTGCTCCAATCCCAATTGTCTTTTTGGGTTTGTTTTTGTTTTTGTTTTTTTTGGCAAGGCAATTGGGGTTAAGTGACTTACCCAGGCTCACATAGCTAGTAGGTATCAACTGTCTGGTCTGAGACCAGATTTGAACTCAGGCCCTCCTGATTCCAGGACCAGTACTGGATCAACTGCACCACCTGGCTGCTCCTGCTGATTTTCTTTTTTGCTTAATTCCCCCGCAAGGTGTAAAGCAAGCGCTGTGGCTCACCAAGTCCAAGTTAATAGAAGGCCTCCCAGAGAGAGTGCTCAGGCTGGCCGAAGAGCCAGCAAGCCATATCGAGAACCAGGATGAGCAGGTCCGGAATGCCATCTGTCACGCACGCCTGTGGCATTCCACTGAGGACATCCCCAAGAGAGAGACGTACTGGTAAGCCTGCAGAAGCACATTGCCCTGCTGCGCTCATGACGAAAGAAGAGTTGGCGCCACTCACCCATGTGTCTCGTGTTTCTCCCCCAAAGCCCTGTCATTGTGGACAGTCTTATACAGCTGTGTAAGACGAAGATTCCCCAGTACCCTGCCCTGACCAGGAGGATCCAGGCCAGGGACTACATGCTGTCGACGTCGTGGCATCGAGGTCAGTGCTGCTGGGGTGTCCCCGGGCCTCCACCTCACCCCTCTTCAGTTTGTCTCTCTGTGCAGTGGGTCAGTGAGGACTTCTTATCTCGAGGGTTATGTGGGGAGGGTGTGTGTGCAGTAAAGCCGCTAGTGATGCCGGAGGTAGGACACCCGGGTTCCAGGCCCGGCTGCTCCCTCCTTGTGGGCAGGCCTTTGGGTGAGTCACTTCACGGGGCTGGATGTGCCCTCTCAAGTGCTCCCTGTATGAGTGGCACCCTCTGTCAGAACCTGCGTTCCTGGAGGGCTTTGTTTGGTATTTCTGTCCTTCAGCACTTAGCACTAACAGGTGCTTACTAAATGCTAGTTCGTTCAGGGGCCATCCCAGCACAGCATCCCCAGTCTTCCCTCCCCACTCTGAGCCCTGTGAAGGAGGGACAGCTTTGGGGGGGTTGAACAGAGATGGCCAGGATCCCATGGAGGCTGCCGCCTTCCTGGTAGAGCTCGCCAGCAGCCTCTGCTGCAAGGGGCCTGTGCAGAAGAGTCTGGAGTGACAGAAAGCTCGGCACCCTCAATCAATTAGAACCTCATTAAGTAGAGAAGTGCATAATAGCAAACATCAAATGTTGCCTCTAATTAAACTCCTCCATTCCCTGTAGTCACAGAGGAGGGATGTGTGGAGGATTGAATTAGAAACCACTCTGGTGTGGTCTGTGGGGAGGCCTACTACCCAGGGTCACCCAAGGTCCAGGGATAGTTACTGTCTTCCCTGCTCCTGTGGTCAGGAAACAAGAAGTTACTGAGTTATCTCAGAAGGGAGACTTCTTCTGCCCTTGCATTTTACAGATGAGGAAACTGAGTCATAGAGTGGTAAAGTGACCCACAGGAAAATAAAACCATTTTACAAGGTTTAAAGTAGCCAGGCTGGTTTTTTAAAAGCCTCCTAGACTCTGTCCTCATGAGTCCTCTGCACTTAGGGCCACCTCCTCAGGCAGGGCCTGGTTTTTCCCAGCATGGCTACAATTGCTTGGGCCACTCCTCTTTGGGAGTTCCCAGCAAAGCCTGTTTATGAGCCACATGAGACCATCAGTCTCACTGCTCAGAGTGCGGAGGTTTTTTGCTTCTTCACAACAACTCTGTTTCCCAGCTTATTAAGTCACTGCACTTACTTGGCTCCAAATGACTTCTGGCTTTTTCCACTTATCAGATCCACCTCAAAAGGACAAAGCTTCAGTGCCCTCCAGGACAGTCAGAGCAGTGTCAGGAATTTTCCAAAGAGGAGCTCAGACAGTAGGCACTAGAGAGGAGGTGGAGGCTGAAGGGCCTGTGCTTTCCTCCCCTGGGCAGGCCAGCCTTAGGCTCAGCTGTGGGTGCCATGTTTTAGAAGAGGCATTGACAAGCTGGAGCACATCCATGGGGGGCAGCTGGGAGGGTGACCAGGCTTCAGAAGTACTTGTTTAGGAGCAACCAGGCATGTTTAGCCTGGAAAAAAAGAAAATTTAGAGCAAAGTGACATTTTCAAGTGCCTGAAAGACTGTCATGTGAAAGAGAGATGGGGCTTGTTCTCTGGTCCTGGAGGGTGGAACTAGGAGGATTGGCTGGAGGCTACAGAGAGGCCAGCTGAGACTTGGGCTCCCCACTAAGTGGCATGGCCCGCCCTGGGAGCAGGACATAGGTGGGAACAGTCTGGAGGGGATGCAGTTCCTGTTGAGATGCAGCAGGAGTCCACTGCCCTTGCAGGGCCAGGACTTGATCTGAGCAAAGGAGGCTTGACTGGAGCAGGGACTTGGGCTCCCCTGGCCTCTGGGTTCTGGAACTCATTCCCATGGGTCAAGGCCTACGTGTTCGTTTCCTTTATTAAGCACTTAAGTTGGGTCACTGTCACTCACCAGGAGAGGTGTGAGGTTGGGATTTCCTGCCCTCCTGCTGCTTGCAGTTGGAAAAACCATAAGTGCTGACCGGCTCCCTGGCTGGATCCCTGATAGGAGTATGCACCCTTTCCCCCCAGGCAGGTTGTAACCGAGCCTGCCTTCACATCCTGCATTCTCATAGTCTTTTCATAATTCCTGCTTCTCGGTGCTGTCTCGGCTCTCCCTTGGGCCGTATGGTCTGCCATACAGAGTGAGGCTTCTGGGGACAAGGGGTTCATCGTAGGAGACGGGATTTAGAGTGGGAAGGGGCCTTGCGGGGGCTTCATGCCCTTCTCCCTCTTGTTTTTCAGCCGAAGCAGCAGGCTCAGGTGAAGAGATTTCCCCAAGGTCACGTAGCTAGTATGTCCACAATAGGACTTGCTGCCTCCCAGCCTCATATTCCATCTGGGGGCAGAGGCAGAGACAGCTAATGCACATATCTTGGGATATTATGAGTTTCAATTATCTGTGTACGTGCCCTCTCTGCTGACTAGCCTGTGAGCTCTTTGGGGGCAAAGCCCCTATCTTTGGATCTCCCCTAACATCTGACCCTGTTCACTGTACTCAGTAGGGGCTTCATAAACATATGTTGTGCTTGTACAGCAAGGTAGCTGTTTGCCTATTTCTCTCCTTACAGAATCCATTTTCCTTCAGATCCGTGGTCTTAACGGGATTCGTTTGAGTGCCAAGGATCCTTTACTGCCAGTCGCGTGTCAGGAAGAGGTCCAGGCTACAGAGAATCACGTCCTGGAGACCTTCTTCCCCATAGCGCCAACCATTAATCTTCAGGAATGTGATGTTTATCATGTGAGAGATGACACAGGTTGGTAGACACGAGGGGGCAACCATTCGTTTACCTGAAGGGCCGCTTGGAGGCTAGATGGCGCAGTTGGGATGGGGAGGGGCAAAGGTGAGGCTCTTCTTGCCTCCTGTTACATATCGTTCCCCTTGTCCAGGTAGCAATTTAGTAACTTTAGGAGGATGAGACACGTGGTTGTGGCAGCATTGCACCAGTGAAGGGGGGTGGGTGCAGCAGAGCTGGCAGCTTGTCACCTGAGAAGGAGCCCTTTCGTCTCCCCTCCTGGAAGGTCTGACCACTGCCCTTCCGAGGCCATGGCAGTCTGGGCTGTCAGTGTGGTTGCTCCAGACTGGTACAAACAAGGCCCCTGGGTAAACTGCACCTTCTGCTCTGGAATCCTTGGCCCCCACTAGGATTTTCCCATCCCTCTTCCTCGTCGAACAGAAGGAGTGGCCTCGTCCTGTTTGTGGTTGCAGACACCAGGGATTTTTCTTCTCAGACAACTCCCTAGTTAGACATACGCTTTTCTTTTTGTCCTCGTCATTCGCACCCGGCGTGGTGAGCCGAAGTGGGTCCTCCTGACGCATTCCGCCCGTGGGGCCCTGGGTGTGCCCCTGAGATGCTGGGGTTCTGGGCAGGCTGCTGCCAGGGCTCAGCGGTGGAAGCCGCTCACCCCCAGTGGGGAATCGCGGGGCCAGAGGCTTCTCTCCCCTGCCCCCCAAGTGGCCATGTCAGTGCCTCACGTAGCTCATCTCTGCCTCTTCACTTTTCACCAGCTGTCTCTGGAAGCGCTCAGCTGGTCATGGGATTGATCCGCAGCCACCAGAAAGTTCTCTTCCCCTGGCTTGTGACTGAGCTGTGCTGTGGCTCGAGGCTGAGGCCGTGAGGGGAAGGGGCCCGTGCTGCTCCCTGACCAGCCCAGCCTCCACCCCGTGGCCTGCTTGGCTCGATGCCACGGTCACTCAGCCAGCCTTCCATGGTTTCCACGTTCCAGGTTTCCACGAAGGCTACCCTTACCCCCATCTGCACACTGTGTACTTCATGGAGGCAGCCAATAATCGCCGGGCCCGGTTTCGACCTGAGCAGCTTCGAGCCAAGATGATCATGTTCGCCTTTGGCAACGCCCTGGCTCAGGCCCGGGCTCTGTATGGGGTACGTGCTCTCCCGTCTTCTTCGCTGGCCCTGTTGGCTGAGGAAGCTGCCGCCTGTGAAGCTGGCTGTGCGTGTGCATGTGCGTGTGTGTGAGCCCCCTAGCAGCATTTGTGCGGGCCTGATGAGGGCAGAGGGACTGATTGCAGGGAGGGAAGAAGTCCCCTTCCTGCCCCTTTGGGTCCAAACCACTCTCAGGGTTGTGCTTTGCCTCATTTAAGCAGCTTTGCAGCGATTAAGGGAGCCGGACCCCAAAATGGTCCAATGGCCAAGGTCCTCAGAGTGGTGGGGAGTGCTCCTCACTGATGGTGACAGTTGGCCTGGGCTCCTGGAGAGGCTAAGGGGCTGAACAGGAGTCACCCTGGGGCCCTTTAGCTTGTGACAGCGCTGCTTCCAGGAAGGATGCTTGGCCTCGTCACTCTCCCCACGACCCCGAGCAGCAAGCCCAAAGCTTTGTCCTGAAATCTCCTGTTGCCTGTGGTTTTCGGTGGGGGAATCCCGTGAGAAAAGTAGGTTTTGTGGACTGGTTAAGCTCTGGCTCCTTCCACCTGTCTGGAGCTGGGTTGTAGACCTGGAATGTGGGGTGCTCACTTAACGCAGCTCTGTGGAGACCCCAAGGCTGGGAAAATGTCCCTTTCTGGGCACCTTTGGTTGCTGGCCAGAGCATCCCCAGCCTTGCTGGAGCCTTTACTGGGCTGATCGCCTTCAGTCCCCAGCCCTTTGCCAGTGCTCCAAGAGGCTGCAAAGTCAAGGGAGGGAAGGAGCAAGGGTCCTTTTCAGGCCCTGGGAGGAGCTCTGCCCCTGCCTGGGAAGTCCCTTCTGGGCCCAGCTGTGGCCAGCTCAGTGCCATTGATGGAGAGCAGCAGGCGTTCTGACCTGTAGGGGAAGGAGACCCAAGAGTATCAGCTGGACGAGCAAGAGCTGGGCCGAATCAAGGCCGGCCGCTGCTGCCTCCTCCTCCTCCTCCCCTGCCCTGAGAGCTGAAGTTGAGCTAAAGGGCCTTTGGTGGGAGCCGGCCAAAGCTGCCTGCCTGGGCTGGACGTCCACCATGATGCCCGAGGTTCTGCTTGTCTGTCTCTCCTCAGGAGGAGGCCCAGGTGCTGGAGCAGCCCATAGTGGTGCAGAGCGTTGGCACGGATGGCCGCGTCTTCCAGTTCATGGTGTTCCAGCTGAACACAACAGACCTGGCTTCCAATGATGGGATCAAGAACCTCATCTGGATGGATTCTGACCAGCTTCTCTATCAGCATTTTCGATGTCTGCCAGTCGTTAAAAGGAAAGTCGTCGTGGTAAGTAGGACGCCAGGTTTGCTCCCTGTCTGTCGACTGCACTCGTGTGTGCGTTGCAGGAAGAATGGGGCCGCCACCCCTTTGTGGTGCAGTTAGGCCACAACTTGCCTCCTCTCTGAAACGGGCACAGAAATCCTACCTGCCTCACTGAGGTGAGCTAATTAGCTCACTGAGCTAATGAAGGGCAGGGCTTGGTGAAGCATAAGGGATGTGTAAAGCATGAGGTTACGAAGGCCCCGCCCTTTCTGAAGCCAGTGCAGCCCTTGGCTGCATTAACGTGAGAGACCTGAGAGGGACATCAGAGATCATGGAATCCAACCGCCCTCATCATAAAGAATAAATGGGGCCCAGAGAGAGAAAGGAAGGTTACCCAGCAGGTCGGGGCCTCTGGCCCCCAGTTCAGTGCTCTGCCAGCTCTGCGTCCCTGCCTCTCGGCCTTGTGAGGATCCTGGTTAGGTACCTGCTAGGGAACTCGGTGAGAGGGAGGAAAAAGCGGGCTGAGCCTTCTCACCAGTGGGAGAGTAAGCCGGCTTCCATGTCCCGACACTTGCTGTGCCCATGAAAGGTAGAGCCACCCAAGGCGCCTCAGAGAAAGATCAGCTAGGCCAGGCTTCTGTACAGATGAGGAAACTGAGGCCCTGGTTCACATAATGCGTTGGCCTCCGCTTCTCTGCCTCCCAGGTCAGGGCTGTCTTCCCTCTGCCTCTTTCTGGGGGGGGGGGGAGTCGGCGTTCTTCAAGCCCCGTGAAACTGACCTTTGTCTCAGTTACATCCATTAAATGGGAAAGCAGAAAAGTGACTCTGTGTATTCTCTCCAGGAACCTGTTGGAATTATTGATTATCAGCCCGGAACTTTCAGGAAGTTTTTAGCAATGTACTTGCACGGTGCAGTCTGAGCGCCAGCCCTCGAACTGTCCAAAGACCTTGCTGGAACACAGAGGCAGCCCTGGGCTCCTGGTGGCAGCCCTAGCCCACATCTGGACCCAATCTCCTGGATGACAATAAAGAGCTATTTATATCCATGAGCTTGTCGTTAATTTCAGGGTGTTTTCAGGATCGTTGCAGCCAGTGAGACTGGTACTTAAAACAATGTTCTAGCCTTTTTTTTTTTTTTTTGGTTAAATATCCTTAGCTAGGAGTACCCAGTCCATTGTCCATCAGGAAATGCATCCAGGCATAGCGAAGGGTGTGCTGAGCCTTCTGGGAGGGCAGTGAGTGTGGTGGAAAAGTCCTTGCTGGGGACAGCCGGCCTAGATTGGCAGGCACTGTTCGAAGCTGTCCCAGGGAATTGGTTGTGCTGGGAGGGTCATTCTGCTACAGGAATTGCTGCTAATGCCCCCTTGGGCATCTCCTGGTTTCAGATACCTTGAAGCTGTGAGCTGGGCCTGGCTGAGGGCACCAAGTGCCCACAGATGCCACTGCTCCTGCCCGATTTCTCAAGATCACTAAGCAAAGCCTCGTTAGTCAGTGATAACTCCCCCTCCCCTTGTGGAGGTTAGTTAACCTCTTATCCCTGGCACCTTATTGTGATTCTCCTGAGATTCCCCACAGAGACCATGGGCATTAACCAGCAGGCGTAGGCCAACCAATGGTGCCATGAGATAGACACCCAGCATCAGCCCTTGTTATGTCATCCTTCCTCAATGGTGGAGCTAGACCCAAGCTGGTCCTCATGCCTGCCCCATCCCTGGCTTCGTTCTGCTGAGTAGGACACATGCTGGCTGTGTGACCCTGGACAAGTTCATTGCCCCCTCTGAGCATCACCTTCCTCCGCTGTAGAGTGGAAATGAGCGATGCCTGGCATTGCTATCGGAGGGACAGATGTGATGTCTGTAAAGTGACTTGTAAATCTTAAAGCACCATGGGAATATTAGGAACTTCCTAACCTATAAAATGGGGGTAATAGTTTTAGCCACCTCAAGGGTGCTGTGTGAAGATTAAATCAGTTTATGGAGAGACAAAAGGACTTTGTGAATTTTAAGTGGGACCAAAATGGCAGCTGTCATTACTGTAATGGTTGTTAACGAGCAAAAGTTATGGGGCAAGTCAGAGATGTCCCTGGGCCTCACACCTAGAGGGAAGTATGGGTATCACCTCGTTGTTTAATCCCTCAGAAGCCCAGAGAAGGAGAGGGACCTGTATCACCTCACCAGCTATGGAATAAGAAAAGCAGAATTTGAACCCAAGTCCTTTGACTCTCAATCTGGGGCTCTCCCCAGCCATGCACTGCCGCTTTGAAAGATTGAAAGGTCACACATGAGGGGCAGCGTGAAATGAAGCCCCCTGGCAGAGCGCAATCCTGTTATCATTTGCTCCTGGCTCTGGTCGGTGGGTGCAGGAGCTGACAGCCGCTAGACGACCAGAGGATTTCCTCTGAGGGCCTTTGCAGCCGCAGCGCGGCCTGCCTCGGTCAGCACTTCTGGACCCGCCGAGGGCCTGCTGGCTGGCTTTGCAGCATTGGAGTAAGAATTCACCTGGCTGTCAGCTCAGGGGCCGGTTGTTTAAAAACAAAACCGAGAGCCATTCTTTCTTGTCTTGTGTTTCTAATAGCGTTTAAAAGAGAAGAGTTGTTCGTTGACTGGGAGCTGCAAGGCCTGTGGGCTCTGAGTGTGTGTGTGTGTGCTTGTGTATGGTGTGATTGTGTGTGGTGTGTATGTGTGTGTATATGGTGTGTTAGTGTGTGGTGTGTGTGTGTGTGCTTGTGTATGGTGTGATTATGGTGTGTGTGTGTGGTATGTGTGTGTATATGGTGTGTTAGTGTGTGGTGTGTG